ATAACAAAGGATAAAGCAAAGGCGGCCACCGAAAACCGCAATCGGATGCGTTGAAACAAATTAATATATAAGAACGGTAAATTGCGACCGAACACGTTATCCTCGTGTCGGTGCTTATTGATCGACAAAACTGTTATGATTACAGTATATTGTATGATATGTATACTCATAGACGAGCCGCGTTTAATTTTCACGATTCGCGGAGGGGCCACAAAATAAAAATACTATTTGGGTGTCATTTTGTGTTGTTTATGTTGTTTCGCTATGTTGTACGGACATGTTTTTATGAAAGTTCAGGGAAGTAAGGCAAACGCAATGCTTTTTCTTAATTCAATTTTATGGCCGGTAAAAGCATATTAAACGTCGTCAGAGTTGTACCTCGCAATGATTTAACATCAAACGTATTTGCCAGCGAAATGTGTGTAATTTTGTTTTGCTAAAAAAGTCGTAACAAATGATATGAAAACATTAATTTTGCAAATAACAAAATTTAACTGCTTAAGACGAATGACTTGTATGGCTTTTCTACGCTACCCACTCGAATGTTTGTCTAATGTTCTAATAATTATCCTAGAAGTTTTTAATTTATTAATAGCGACTACTTTAAAGGGGAAAAAAATTAAAACATTTCGTTATCGTTCATTTATAACAGACAGCGACTTATCCGATTAATGTTTTTTTGCATGTTTATCATTCATTAAATAAATTTCAATTGCACTCGTGCATTTTTTACCTCGCTCATAATGAATGAGTGCACTAGTACTATGTATGGTGAGATTAGCGATGAATGTAACTAAATTTTTAGCAAATCAAGTACAATGTAACTATTATACATTCTAATAAATTAAGTAAATATAATGAATTGCCTGTGTCTTAAAATTATGGTTTTTTAATTTTAACTTGATAAACAATTTATTTTTAGATTAAATAAAATTAAAAAGTACAAACATTTTATTTAGTAATCATTTCGTCAAAACCCTATTACTTTTAAATTAACCCAAAAACTCCACTTATTGCATTAAATAATAGTTATATAATAAATATTAAAGGATATATTGTTTGTATCACTTTTTTTATAAAATTACCATTATTATTTTAAATTATTACTATTTATCTTCTCAATTAAAGATTTATTGTTATAGAGTATATTCTTTTCCTTATTGAATTAAATATGAAAATGGTACCAAATGTAAATTGATATGACACTTACGGAGCGCCATAATCGATCATTAAGTAATATTTTCGAATTGGAATTTTAACTGGTTATAATTTGTCATACTTGTCAAACTATATGTGGTAATTTCAACCAATTAAACATGCATTTGTACTATTCTTTAATAAAATAAGATCCCTCTTGAACTTATAATGCACTCAACTTATACATACGGGATCGTTAATTGTTATAGATCATTCAAAAACTGAAGAAGATTCATCTTTTGAGATAATTTTTTAGTATACATAAAAAAAGTTCTCGGCAAATGAAGTATAACAAATAATCTTGAGTCCTTTTCAACGTCATTATTGGCTAAAATAATTTTAAGCAATATATTTTTTGCTATCGTTACTTACACTTATATTGGTACAAAAATTGTATTTCATAAAATACAAAACATATTTATGATTTTTAAATTATTGAATATTCTCTGAAGTGTTTTTTAAAATTTTCACTTAAGATCAATTGAAGTCTAATTTGTTTATATTTATTTAAAATAAAACATTTTTGTTCCTTACCTAATTCTAAACTTTGTTTTTAAAAGAATTAACTAATACATAATATAACAAATATATCATTACATAAATATTTATCATGAATAACATACTAATGGAATAATATATGATAATAATAATATACTTTAAGGCATATATAATAATTTAAAATGGACATGCCTCTTTTTATTAGGTGTCAACATTTTGTTTTGGAAAATAAAAAGTTCTAAAACTATAGATAATAGTAATAATAATTGACTTTTTTTTTGTTGAATATGTAATTTGTCATGTTATTTCAATACATCACAATAAGAATATGCATTAAAAAAATGTTTCGCCCACTAAAAATTTTTTTTGAGCATGTGCGCATGGAGAATTTGCAATTCGAAGTCTTATGCCTAACGTAGCATAGCTGATGAGTATTCATTAGTTCAATGTTTAATTGTTCTTTTCTGGATGTCACGTTGTCTTTTTTTTTTGTACAGTTCGTTAATTTAAAAAAAGGTTTAAACGAATATTTTTCATTCATAATTAGTACAAATTATTGGGCGTAATATTTAAAAAAAATATATATTTGTAATATTAGACCCGATTTTAGACAAGACTTAGGCCTACTAAATATATGATATATTGTTTCCCTAACATTCATGAAGTATCAATGAATTACTAACGAGAGAAGAATTTTTTTATCTTACTTAGGTACGTGTTTAAAATAAAAAATTTCACATTTAATAATAGACGTTTTATGGTTTGTTTCATAACGTATAAATTTTTCTTAGTCATTAGTCATAGTTTATTTTCAATGTTTATTGCTGAAGCATTTTTTCATAAAAAAATAAGTTGAAATGCATTATAAAAACCATTTTTCGTTAATTCATGTCTTACGCAACTAAAACAAGGAACTTAAATATTTCAAAACCGCTTTTAATATGTACATCGAAATAATTTTATTATACGAATAGGATAAAAATGTTACCAGAATTGATTATTTAAATAATTGGTGCAGTGTATATTTTACTAGTATAGATATCAATGCAAATATTATTAGTAATATGCATGTAATTTTTTTAAATAATCGTTAATTCAGCCAATTATAAATATTAACCAACTAAAAATTAAATAATCAATTTTCTAAACGATGATTTCATTATCATCAAATAATACATGTCCCTTTTTTTTACTGTTAAATGTGTATAAGAAATACAGTATACTTATTATATATTACTGACAAATATAGGCATTAAATACGTTTAATAAGTTTAGTAAGAAGAAAAATAATTAAAAACTTGGATTTTAAGTGTATTGAGAGGTACTATTAAATTATTTACAAATAGTTTTGAGAAATGTTTTAATGTTAATGTGCATGATTAATACATAATTTTGAGAATATTATTATAGTTGGAAATGTATATTATCTAATTATAGTATAAGAGGATATAAGTTGTAATCGAGTATCGTGTATACATCATAGCGGCAAGTACAGAATAATAATGATATTATATGTAATTAAAAAAAATAGATGGGTATATTTAAAAAAAGCAAATATTGTATTGCCAAAATTTAATACATCTAACTAACAATAATTGCATTGATATTAAAAATTGTTACTATGCTATATTTTTTCTATTATCATATCTTATTCATATGAGTAGTAAAATTAAAATTTTTTTATTAGGTGATAATATAAAAAATAAATGTTTCTAAACTTAATAAAACATTTTTTTTTGTCACATATTATAGAACTATCAAAAGGATATGATACTGAAATCTCTCCCCTATCAGTTGTTATGGTTAACTATGAATTATTGTCTGTATCCAAAGAAAGACCTAAACCGTAGAAATACAAAATATAGGTTCTATTTTTGTACTATATCTAATGAAAAAAGTTCTAATTCAATGCGTACCATTGTTTTTATTGCATCGGAATGAACATGTATGCAATAAATTATTCGTCATCATCTACGTGAACAACTTTTACTAGTAAAGATATACTGCAAATGTTTGAACGGTGCACCTACACGGCAAGAGATGTATTCGACTCAATTGTTAAGACAGCTGGCAATAACTTAATAATATTACGTTGTATTCAAAACTAATGTTTGTGTATGTATAAGGGATAAAAATCACGGTCAGACGGAAAACGTTGGCGTCTATGACATCATAGACAACAAGATATCTATGCTATTTAGCATATTGTTCACTTTGCACTTACTAGTATACAGTTTGATGATATCATACGGGTATTATTAACATAACATAATGTGTTATAGTATTGCCCTTGGCTACCAGCTGTCTAGTATTTAGGTTCGAACAATCAGGCCGACACTTTCAGTTAACAAAAGGGGATAATGCAAGTCCGTATTATAATTCAGAACTAAAAAGTGGATGATCTGTAGCGATTTAAGGATAATTATATGGTAGTCGAGTGGGTCGGGACCCGGTTTGTGTGTGTGCCATAACTCATATCAAAGACTTTGTGAAGTGTTAAACAAAAAGACTTTTTTAATACCCGAACAAAATAGTTCTATTATAGTTGTTGGAATTATTTTTATGATTCGGTATGTCATTTCCAAAAATGGAATGCGGGAAATTTATATCTCATATTAAATTGGCTATTAGAAATCCGACTCAAAAAGTATAAATCACTTTACTCAACGATGATTTTGCAAAAATTTTAGTAGTAATACAATTTATCTAATACTAAGATTTCATATCTAATTATTATGGTACTAAATAAAATTAAGTAATCATGAAATAGATTTATAAAATTTATCATCTGAAAAGTTTACAAAACCAGTTCGCCAAGATAAGCCATTGATACGAATAGACATCAGGATTATCATGTAATCAGTTAATTGACATCGAGTTCGTCTATGGTGGAGAGTTTATGCATATAATAATGTGTAGTTTACCTATTTCAAATATACGTCAAGTTAAGTATGTTATACAGATAAATGCGAGCGGATTTGAAGTTTTTTCTTTATACAAGCATTCTTTCACGCACCCTGTCACTACAACTAACCGGCCGTTTGTCGTGTAAACATTGTCAGGCCTCCGGGTGCAGTTAATGTCACCTCCTTCGACTTTGCGTTTTACACAGAATCATATCCAATGATAATTCAGTTTAAAATACATTAACGACGATAATGTAATTTAGACTTTTCTTCTTGAACATAAATAGAACTTTGTTCATGGTAAATAATATTACTTCGCTATTATTTATTATTAAACAGTCTTGTTTTTTTTTTGGATTTAATTATTTATACTTTTATTTAAAATAGTGTAGCACTCACCTTTACGGCGACAATAGAGTTCGTCGGTATGATCGTAACAATCTTCAGTACCATCGCATCGTCTTGAGTTAGGAATACATCTTGTATCATCACATTGAAATTGATCATATGGGCAGCCTAAAAAAACGATAATTAATATTTAATTACTTATTGAAAAAGGTCTCAGTAAAATGAAGAATTTGTTGATATTTTAATTGTGCTCATAGAAAACCTTCAGAATCTCCTACGCATTATAGTTATTTTGTAATGTCAATTATCGTTGGGATTTGCGCTCTTTTTTAAAGAATAAACATCTTGTAATTTTTTGTGCCAACGTGTCTATCATTAGAATAATTTATTTTATATTAAACACCATAACATACGTTATTTATAATGGCAAAATATACACGAAAAATATTTAATTTGAAGAATTTATGAATTATTCTGGATTTTAATAATAAATATCAGTAATCGATCCTGAATACGTATATTATAAATTATTTAAATATTTAAATTACTTTAAATACATCTTTTATAGCTTGTGTTATATTTGTTTAATAAATTTTGAACCAAAATCCAATACTTAAAGTATGAGAATTTAATAGAAATTAAAACATTTCACAAATGTACAAAAATTACAACTTATGTAATATCTTCTATAATATTCGTAGATGATACAAGTTTTCTTTAGATATATGTTAAAAAAATATTGCATCATTGTCATAAATTATTCTTAATTTTTACAAAAATGAATTATCCTATTCATATGATGATTAACTTTAACTCATCATTATACGAATTCTATCACTGTCCAACAATGTTTCATATCTATTCACGAAGAAATAATTGCATGATTTTATAGTTAAGTGATGTATTATTATTATTATTTGTTAAAATTATAACTATTAAAAATGTATTAACCTTTNGATGTATTATTATTATTATTTGTTAAAATTATAACTATTAAAAATGTATTAACCTTTATAATTTAATTTCTAATGTATTGAACTATTATTATCTTATTAACTATTTTTGAATTGAAAATACTTGAATCAAGATATATAATATATAAACATTTTTTTCTCTGAGCTTATAAATATTTAAATAAGAGAGATTGGTAGCAAATTCCAAGGGATGTTTATTAGATATTAAATATCATACCATTTGAAAAAAATGTATTCATTCGTAGCTTAAACATAAAAAAATGTAACTATTAAATAAAAATTATCAAAAGGATTTAATTATGATAACATTATTAAACAGTTTAGCTTACCTAAAGCTAAAAAAAAATTTGACTAAAATATAATATAAAAATAATATTTATATATATATAATTTTTTTTTTGTAATTAACTTAAAGAATAAATATTCAAATTTTCCAAAAAAAAAAGTTACGAACCAAAAACAAGGTGTGGAAGTGCTAAGCGTCTAAATTTGTTGTACAAACTATCAATAATAACTAGGTGTTATTCTAATTAATAAAGAAAAATAATTAAAAATATAAATAGTTAATGAATAAATAAAATATTTATCGTTTTATAACATCAACAAAAAGTATTCATTGCCGTAGACTTTTTATAGTAAAATAAGGTAAAAATAAAAAATAAATTTTAAAGATAAGTAAGTAATTAGATTGACTGCTCCAATTAATTCGATAAGTTCTGCTATATNTTAGATTGACTGCTCCAATTAATTCGATAAGTTCTGCTATATTAATATAAATTAAAGTAAATTAAAAAAAACACTTGTTCTTACAGTTACAACATTTGTTTAAAATTATTTCAATAGTAAAGAATCAATGTAGATTTAATTTTTTATTTACATTTTTATAATTTTATATGATAAAGTATTTTAATTGAAATTGTTTTAATTTATGTTTTTCAGGTAATAAATTATTTGGTTAACTTGTTAACAATAGATCGGTTAACTTGAGTTGAATAATTTATCGTAGATTTGGTTTAGAAACTTGGATTTTATCAAATACCTTGTAATATTATAAATTTTCTATTGAGAAACATGTTCCCTTTTCAACGAACCGTGAACAAACGAAGTGATTTACAGAAACTTTGTGTGAGATATTAATATCCAATTACACTGTGAATCCAAACCCTGAGTATATTTGCAAGTTTTGTATACATTTTTTAGACATAATAAATACAACTTTAGTGATTTATTGCATTTACGTATTTATTGAAGAATATCATATAAAAGTAAATTAAAAATATTTTAGCGAATGCTGGGTACTTCATTAGAATGGTTATATTATTTAATATATCTAAGCATTAGAGAGCCGTATTCTTTAAGAGGAGACAATTGAAAAACTTTCTCAACTAATGAAAAACAAATATTAAATATCCATATATTATTGTAAATGAATAAATAAATTCCTTAAAATGCATTTCTCTACATTCAGTTAAGTTTAATTTAATTTAATAATCATTTAAATAGTAAAAAATCGTTAGAAACAACTTATTACATATGTTGAATTAGACTAGCGAATCCATTCAATAGATTATATCAAAAAAGCTGCTGGTTGTTATTGACTATTAAAATATCTGATTTTATCACTATTTAAGGCTCCTAATTCTTAAGTTTAATTTTTTTTACTTTTAAACTAAGTCGACATAAAATTCTAAGAAATTAGGTCAAGTTAAATATAATACTTAAAATCAGACAAAAATTTTTCTTCAACTCATAAGAAGTGTCAAATAATAATTAACGGTGTTAAATGTAGAAATACAGCACTATTCCTATTAAGTGATGTTGATTGAAACGGTTGCCTAATTATTACCGGTCGAGTTCAAAGAGACGTATTATATGTATCGCACATAAATCATAATACTATAATGAATTATGACCCACGCTTCTGGTTTTAAACTTATTTTTTAGAGATTAATATTTTATTTCTCAGGCCAGCTAGTTGACTAGCAATTTCTAGATTATATAGTAGTCAAAAAGAGTAAAAGTACCTTATAATATAAAGTAATACTCGTATATTTGATAAAAAGGCGTTGAATTATTAAAAAAATAAGTGTAATCTAAATATAGGTAAATCATACATTTATAACAATATTTTTAACATTTTAAAGATTTAATGGTTGGATAAAATTACTGAGAGTGGATAAGTATAAATTTAGGCTTTACGTTACATTTTCGAGTATTTAAAAAATATCAGTAAAATATAATTAGATTAAGTATAAAAGTTATTCTGTAAAGACTGTTAAGAAATACCAAAAGAATGTATTATCGAGTTTTGACTAGAAAAAAATAATATATAATAATGTACTAAGTAATAATTTGTAGTTGTTTATATGGGTAAGTTTTGGAGATTTATAGTATGGTAGAAATCATATTTTTAACACGAGTATCGCACTCGTATTAAATTTATATTACATACTATTTCCATCGATCATAATGATTTAAAAACGTTATTTTGTATTACGAACGTGTATAGTATGTGTTCCACTATACAGAAAAAGTAATTTATTATTTTTAGCCAAAAACTTATAAATAATTACTCCAATATTATATTCTGTTTTAAATTTTTTAAGATAAAATAAAGGTATTATAATATTATTTGTATGATTAGGAAAATAAAAACTGTATTAAAATATTGAATAAAATTCAATCATACACATTACCTGTGAGTGAATGAAAAAAATGACTTATATTAACTACGTTCTAATTAAAAATAAAGAGTGTATACTTAAGAATATGATATTAATTTAACTGTGAATTTTGTGAGATAATTTTAAATTTCATTTCAATTTCTATTGACGATCCATTTCTACTGAATAGTAACTACTTACTAAATGAAAATGTTTTTGTATTTTTTACATTGACCACTCTGGGGATCGTTATGCAATTTTGTTCATCGGATCCATCAAGACAATCAAATTTACCATTACATACCGTTTCTCGTGGTAGACAAGAGTCAGTCTGATTACAATAAATTTCACCCGGATAGCATCTACGTTTTGAACCAACGTACTCTTGGGGAAAAAATAAAAAGCAAAATAAAAATATAATAAAAAAAAAAAGTAACAAATACTTCTAAAAATATGCAATAGTCAATATAATATATAATACTTATTTCTTATGTTAAATGGTAGGCTATTTTTTAACTTTTGAATAAATTAATAAAATAAAACTGTTCATGCAAATAAAAATAAAATTTGGGCATGAGAATTCATAAAACAAGTTCAAAATATTACCTTTGACCATACGGAAGTCTCGACTATCAATTGTGATTGGGTTACTAGGATTGTACTCTCTCGAATTATCGATGAAATATTTAATGAAGGTCTCTAATGTTTCTTGAGGAATTCGATCGGAAGCTTCAAGATCGACGGATACCTTCACAAAGAAACTATCATCTGCAATAGGCCTGAAATATTTAAAATATATTAAATAGTAATTAATTGCCATAACTGTAAATTTATTTTTTAAGTCCAAAATGATTAAATACCAACTTAAGTTGTGAGTAGATCAGTATTTCTGCACTATAAAGTAAGTTATACAATGACTTGAAATTGATTTTGGAAAAAAAAATAAAGGTCTCAATGAAACAAAAAATTTCAATATATCTACTAAAGATTACATAGTTTTTGATTTTAGAGATAAATTATTCATAGGAGAAGGTCATCGGATCATTTTTCATATTACATTAAACAAGCTATAATTTGAAATAATTTAGAATAATTCTTAATTATTATGTAAATATCCGTTACAATGCAAAAAGATTTTTATATGGTTTAATTTTTTAATTTTACTAATACAGTAATTGGAAAAAAAATTTTTTGTTTAAATAATAATATTTGCAAAATAGTTTACTCTTATAAAAAAAAATATAGATCAAACCAATTTTTACAAGAAATTACCATCCCTTGCATTACACTAATACATTAAACAGAAAACAGTTAAGAAAAATTAGAAGGGTCGATCAGTCTTTGTATTTCAATTTTTCAACTTAGTCAATGTATAAATACTAGTAAGTTCATAATTAAATATTGGTCTTACTCAATTGCTACCACTCTAGGTTGCATATTTTCATTAGTTAGATTTTGAAGCGCCTTAGACATTGAAACGCTTATGTTATTTGCTAATAAATTAAAATTTTGGCTTGTTGGATTAGTATAATCCTTGTTATAAGGTTCATTGACTGTCATATATACTCGATAAATAACTGAAAAAAAAAATAAAATAAAATTACGATTAATTAAAAGAAATATAAACTTATATCTTAGTTTCATTGATTTTAAAGTAATGTAATTAAGTCTACATTTATAATAATAATAAAAAAACTTTTTGTAGGCGATTAACTATACAAATCATATATTGAAGATAACTATTATTGAAAATAAAATAAAATTNATACAAATCATATATTGAAGATAACTATTATTGAAAATAAAATAAAATTGTTATATTATTTCAATATTTATCTGGAGAGGTAATATTTCCTCATTTAAACAATCTATTAGTTTTTAAATTTTTACTTGTATATTATACTATTCATTTTTAATAACTTAATATTTTATTTTATTTACTCAAAACTTGAGATGGTCCAAATGGATCAATTGTAGTTTCTGGAGTAATAGTAGTTGTTAAATGTGTGGTTGGTATTATACTGAGTGTTGTTGCAGCAATAGTTGTGGTCGTAATTGGTCTGCTAGTTGAAGTCGAAGTTTTAATTTCAAGATTACGATTTTCTTCAATATCTGGTCCATCCCCAGAACTTTCTCCATCGCCAGAATTTACACTAGTATCTTCATCATCTAACGAAGTATCACCTCGTTGACTATTCGTAGGTGATTCAGTTGTAGTAGTTGTGGTAGTAGTTGTAGTAGTAGTAACATCATCTGTAGATTGTGCATCACTAAAATATAAATTTGAATTAATAATAATTTTAGTTTTTAATTAAAATAATACAATAATTTATAAATATTTATTTTAATGAACATAAACTTGAATATTAAGAGATCAATGCATAATAATTCTAATATAATAATATGATATAAACATTTCATAGTAATGCATAAATGTATCTGCTTATTATTTTAAATATTATATGTGCTTAAATATTTTAGTAGAAAATCTGACAATAAAGATAAAATAAAACATTAAATATAATCAAGAACATAATAAGGTAGTTTTACCAATTAAAGATTTAGGTATTATATTATCAGCTGATCTTTCTTATTCTGATCATATTTCGTTTATTCATGGTAAAGCTATAAGCGTTTTAGGGTTTATCAAACGTCAATACTGGCACTTCAAAAATATTCAATGTCTTAAAACACTTTATTATTTTTGGTACGTTAAAATTTTGAGTATAGATCCATAATATGGAATCTCTCTAAAATTGCTTGTAATGTATATCCTTTAAATAATGTACATTTAAATTCTTAAAATACTTATGTTATAAATTTATAATAAATTGTACCACTAGTGAACTTGCAGAAAATTTGGGTATTTCTGATGTAAATTTAATTATGTAACATTTATTTAAAAATTTTAAATTGCAATTAACTGTCCAGAAATCTATGAGAAAACGGGTTAGTTTGTTCTTTTTTAGAATACTAGATCTAAGACTACTATTTATAAGTCATTCCGTGCACAACCATGTAGTTTTAACAATCTTAAAAATTGTATGTTAGCTTCGATGCGAAGCTGAGAAGGTATTGGTTTTACTAAGATATGTTTTTTTTTTTTTTTTGTGTCTGTTACCACTTTTTCTCAGCTCTCACCGAACGGATTCCTTTGAACGATACGTCAAAAGATCACAAATCGTATCTAGTCGAAGACATTACCCTCAATAATTGAAAAAAAATCCCTCGTTCCCCGTAAATGGGGGAAACCTCCAAAAAAATTACAAATTTAAAAATTGTTAATTTTCGAAATTTTTCCAATTTTTTTTACTAAAATGTGCCGTAACTTTTTCAAAAATGACCATATCAATATAAATTTTTTTTTTATAGATGCTTGATGTCTTTACTTATCATTTGGTATATTTTTTTGTAAATCTGACCCTTTATCTGCCCACATGGGTTGGGTGTTTCACAAAAAATTAACTTTTTCAACTTAATTTTTGAAAATGTTCCGGATAGTGTAACACTTTTATATATATCTTAAATTAAAGCTTATGTAATATACTTTAATTTGAAAAAAATAAATTGACCTCTAGACTTGTCTTCATTGTGAAAACGGCTACCAAATGCTATTTTTGTGTGAAATTTCTCGATTTTATTTTTTATATTTTTAACTTTATAATGCTATAACTTATTGAAAATTGTATGGATCAACACAATTTTTTTATGAGAAATAATATTTTTTAATAATCCCTTTTTAATTCGACATACTTTATCTTAATCAAGATATTAATAAGGAACTAACAGATCATATAGCTTTTGGATTAATACACCAATTTTTTTAAAATTAAACACAATCTAAAGATTTGCATCGAAGCGTTTATTTTTGATAGTGATTTTAATCACTGTCAGATATCATTATACTTGATCCAACTATACCACGTCATCACTGTGCCGCGACCCCCCTGTGCTGGGTTTTTTGTATTTGTAATAATCTAGAAAATGTTTACTTTAATTTTGATTGCAAATTAATATCCAAATTCTTAATATCGATGTTTATGTTTAAAATCTTAAATTTAATTAATATAATATAACATACCTTATTATATTTATGTATAATAAATCTTTATTACTAATATGTACACTATTTATTTTATTATATTGATAGTTATTGTTTGATTACTATTATTTTATATTTTATTGGTTATATTATTTTAGTTATTTGTATCACTTAATTTTTTATGCCTATCTAATAAGTAATTTTTTGTACAATCTATTGCCCATTAGACGATAAATATAAATATTATATTATAAGATCTCATTATCAAAGACTTCTTAGTTAAATTAAATAAAAAATGAAATAGCTCCTGACTTTTCGAAAATTAAAAGAATAATAAAGTTTATCAGTTTAATATTGATATTTAATTTAAAGATTTACTTCGTTTTTTTTAGTATATAAAAATTTGATAGTAATTTAATGTATTCTATGTAAAGAAGTATTGTTATATGACATTAAAATATAAATTAGTTCCACTTTTATTATACCCAAATATTTCCTAGACCTTCCTATGTTAAAAAATTATTAGATATAAATTAAATTAATTGATAGTTAATTTTCACATTAAATTAACTTATTCGTAGACCGGCGTTTCATATAGGCAATTTAACATCATAAATGATGAAAATTAAAAATTTATAGTCTTTTAAATACGTTGAGTTAAGAAATTATCAATTTGGTAACATTGCCAAAATATTTTTTTAATTAGTTATATTTTTGTCAAATCAAAATCATTTTTATTCGAAAATTTTATTTATGTAATATAGACGAGTTTAATGTTATTGGATTGATATTATTTTATTTAAAAGTTAAGGGAATTCGTTTTTAAATAAATAACAATAATTTAGTCAATTATTTGAAATAGAAATAAACGTTGGTTGACTATAATACCCCATATAATTTTAGTACATTTCTATGATAGCCTTACTAAAAAAGTTTAAATAATACAAATATTAACCAAATTTTGTTTTTAATTTAATTTATAGTAATTATTAAGTTTAAGTTAATTTTTTTTAACATTTAAATACCTTATTAACAATGAAGATGATTCTGGTTCTAATGTCGTTTTCGAAGAATCAATATCAAAAATGTCGAAGAGTCCTCGTTTCATTCTACGGGTAGTTTCATGAACAAAATTCAACATTTTTGTTGACCACTTGTTGTGTGAATCATTATTTATAATATGATGGTCATCTTGATCAACATCTTCAAATACTAAATCACTATCAGTCTGCGAAATTCAAACAATAATATAAATTAAAACTCATGAAGTTAAATCGTCGACTTGTTGATTTTAGTTCATTGAAAAATTATCACTAAATTATTACAAAAAAAATCGGTATAAGAAAATAAAAAAATTGATAAAATAATATATTTTATAAATAAAATTAGTCATAAATATTCAATCAAAGTAACTAAATAAGTATACTGATTTACACTTATATGTTTTCCTTATATGTTTATGTACACTTTACCTTATCTAACTGAACAATATATTTTTGTTAAAATACCTTAGCAAGTGTCACTCTAGTGTTATAAAGCAAACTACTTTATCAGAATTCATATCGCTAGATGGCGCTATTTTATTTATACTTATATATTCAGTTTTTCAAAAAAAACGGTTTTTTTTAACTTTGCTTTCTGACAATATTAAAAATATAATTTTGTTGCATTGTAAACGCATAGTATCTAAGTGTCTATATAAAATATATTGTAATTAAGTGATATTCAATAAACGCATATCATACAAATGTTGATGGTTAGATAAAAAAACGGTAGCACAGTGGGGTCGAGGCACAGTGTGGATGAGGCATAGATGGGACAAGTATAGATGATATCTGACAGTGANTATATTGAAGCGATTATATGGTGTAATCGTCGTTTAAAAGGGAGTTCAGTTGATTAATGGTCACCATTGACAATTAAAAGTGTAACGTTTTATTCATCGAGTCACAATATTGAATCATTAAATTAAAAAATAGTATAATTTAGAGGTTCGTTTGGTACTGGAATACAAAACGCCGACAAGGAAATTTAAATTGTTGAGTGAATAAATAAGGTCAATGATTATTTCGAAATACAACACAAAATCAATTATGATCCAATAAAATCAATTACATTTTATTAAGAAATATTTTTGATTAGCTTAAGTTAGTAAAAATTGCTAAAGTGGAGTATAATTAATATATACATATACACATGTACACATGTACAATAACATGATATTCGACTTTTTAGAAACTATCGGTAATATCTTAAATCTACCAAATTTCTTTATAAATTACTATTTATAACTTAACTTATTTTTATTTAAATAATTTTGTTGCAAATGAAAACGAGTCAATCGGTTTTTGTAATGTCCATGATAGATGGTCAAAGTTAAAAAGATCAATTTTCAAATTGACCTTATTAATACTAGGCCAGATATTTATATTTATTCACAATATTGAAGACATTTAAAACATCCAAAGGCTTATAATAATTTTATTTAAATTAGAGAAGTGTACATCGCCGATAAAAAATGCCGACGCCTAATAGGCGCCGTTTAAAGGCATTTATGCGTTGAGGTATAATTTAGACTAATTTATAACTCGACTATTAATGGTTGATAGACGCCAGTTTTCATAGATGAAATATACTAAGAGCAAACAATTATGTACGAGACCAAAATTGTATTTTTTGGAGATGTAATCAATGATTATTTTTTTTTTGATTATGAATAATAACACTCTATAGAGTGTTAATATATGACTCTTATTTAATAATTTTGACGTCCATAGAATCACAACCCTAAGCTTTTTACAATTAAAGTTTAAATTGATATAACCTTTTACTTTCAATTAGTTTTATTTAGAATAGTTCAATACATATATCAGTTATACTTATATTGTTGAATCTTAAAAAAAAAAAAAACATTAACTTAACATCTATATGTCTCTCTAATATACACCATAAATTGTTTTGCATTGAAATCTTAATAAAAGTTTTAATGGCACATCGCTAGATATCAAGATATCAATTAATAATTTTTTATAAAACTGTTCTTCCTATACTCGTAGGAACTTCACAACAGGTTGATAAAATTAAAAACAACCTTTTTATTATCTTGTATTATTAGCAGTACAATTAATTATGAATATTATAACTATTTTGTATAGAAATATCATAGACACAATAATCCAGTTTTTATAATATATTATAATTATATAATATAATATATTCCGTTTTATCGTTTTATCTAAAAACGACAAAAATATTAATTAAAATTATACATGTTTGAGTATATTACCATAAGACATTCATATCACCCCAATGGTTAATGGTTTTATCATAATGTGTTATGTAATAATGCACGAAATATGATAAAATGATTTTTGAAAAAATATCATTAAATTCTAAATACTGCTCATCATATATTACTAACATCTTATTACTGGTAGATTAAATATTAATTATTTAGATAAGAAAAAAGTTTTCTTAGATGACGTTTAGGTTACCATTTATAAAGTGGTGCAGCCAAGATGAAAGATAATACTATTTTTATCAAGATTTTTCTGAACTTTTTATAACATATGTGAAATTCATTTTTCGAAAAATTGAGGAGATTTCAATATGGCTACTGGTAATAATTTAAAAATTAAACTGTGACATACTAGTGAATTTATAAAAATTTTCATATTAATAGTTAAATCATAAAAAAATGTTCTTTTAATTCCAAACGGCAAACAAATCCTATTAATACTTTTATGCCAATGATCTATAAATTATTTTTATCATGCACTGCTTAGTTATAAAAATAGTATTACTTAAAAGAATAAGTATTCAACAAGGATTTGAAGTAAACTATTTATATCCTATACATAAAAATTAATATCTTCTAAGCAACACAACATGAAGTTATGACACTACTATCTTGCTAAGTAATAACCAAATAATAATAAGTAGGATTGTCTTATATACAAAACTCAGAAAGACCACACGTTTAAAAACAAGATGCATATATATAATATACCAAAGTATAATTATGTAGTCGGACCTAAATATAAAATTTTGATACAAAAAAATTAAATGCACTTTTTAAATTTATTTGAATTATTTAAAAATTATAAATCTGTTAACAAAAAATTAAGTTTTGAGTTTTATTACACATAGCATAGTGCCCTAAAAATGTATGATAACAATGGTTTGATTAAATTAATTAAATGAATTACACGAAATTTAACAAAAAATTCGTTAGAAAGGCATTATTAGTAAATGAAAGTTGAAAGTTTTCGTCAATATAATCTTTTTAATTTATGTTTTAATGTTACACCCGTAAAATTAATATAATGTGTTAATGTTATAATTCAACTATGGCATATTTGTTTTCAAAAAAAAAATTGTCTATAATAATAATATTATAAAACATTCATAGTTAACTTACACGAAAATTGTTTTATGTTTAAAATCAGAATTTTCTAGTAAATCAGCAATGAATAATATATTAATAATTGTAAGACTGTAGATAATTTTTTAGCTTCGATGCGAAGCTGAGAAGGTATTGGTTTTACTAAGATGTGTTTTTTTTTTTTTTTTTTTTTTTTTTATTT